AATCAACTCTTCCTAACCGTCCAACACTAATACTATCTGTCTCCTTCTCCAAGCTGGAGTTTGAGGGGAGCTTATTTAGCCAGCAACTTGGTTTGAATCAGATAAACAGTGAGGCTCCCTTGGAATCTGCAGGGTATTGGTTCCAGGACCCCCACAGACCCCAAAATCTGAGGATGTTCAAGTCCCTTATATAAAATGGCACAGTATTTGCTATATAACCTATGTATACCCTCTCTTGTACTTTAATTATCTCTAGATTACGTATAATACTACTATGTAAATGCTATGCAAATAGTTGTACTGTACAAGGAAAAAAAGTCTGCATATGTTTAGTAGGATGTTTGGAACTATCATAGGTCTGACTACAAAGTACATATCAGCAACAATGTAATATTATTTTTTAAATATTTTCCATCTGTGATTGGTTGAATTCATGGCTGTAGAACCCGCAGATATCAACGGCTGACTACATGTTTTTAAAAAGGTTCTTTCAGGGGCAAAGTCCTTGGGTACTTAGAAGCTATTCTCATTTTCCTCTTCATATGGCTAATCCATTATTAAGTTTTGTGAGATTAACATTTGCTTACAGGTTTATGTCCTTACTTCTTTTTTTATTTTTATTTTTTTTATTGATTTCAGAGAGGAAAGAAGAGGAAAAGAGAAATAGAAACATCAATGATGAGAGGGCATCATTGACTGGTTGCCTCCTGCACACCTCCTTTTGGGGATTGAGCCTGCAACCCAGGCATGTGCCCTGGATGGGAATTGAACTGGCTGGAGCTCTATCCACTGAGCCAACCCATCTAGGGCTGTCCTTACTTCTTGACATCAGAGAGCAGCATGGTAGACTTGAATGAATATTGAATTATCAGCAGTCATGGGGGATTTCAGGTCCTTTCTCTGCTCTTAACAGTTTTGTGTCTCGGGGCCAATTATGTCCACCCATTTGAGTTTATTTTCTTATTTTTAAAAGAAAATAATGATGTTGTTGGAGGTTGTTATGACAAATCAATTTTTTTAAGAACATGTAATGATAGTTTAAGCCTTATAATACACTCTACAAAGAGAAATCAATAATTCTGGGGTCATGGAGTTTACAGACTTACTATTAGTTAATAAATATACTGAGATCTAAATTACTGTAATATAGAGAAGCAAATGACACATTCTGTAATAATACCTACTATTTTTAAGTGATTATTATGTGCTATATACCATTCTAAGCATTTCACCTCTAATATTTATGTAATCTTCCATAGGTCCTATAAAATAAGTCTTTCTATCCCTATTTCATAGAGGGTAGTTAGCATAGGTTAGGAGAGTATGCAATAGTCATAAAGCTACATGTAAACTCAAACCAATCCGATGTATACCTTGCCTTCTTAACCATCAGACAACACTTCTTGGAGAGTGAAGATTAAAATCCTTAGAATGGCATTAAAGACCCCAGGCATAAAGCCCCCAAAACGCCTTTCTGATCATATTTATAAATCACCCAGATGGCTTTCACTGCAGCTAAGCTAATCTCATTTTTTGCAAAATTCTGAATTGCGTTCTCCATCTGGGAATCTTGCCTTCTCTAACCAATTTGAACATTCTAATGGACAGCTATTTCTGTCTCCTCTAAAAAATAATAACAGCTGTTGTCTATACCACTTACCTGATTCTAATGGCATGTTCTCATTGGTTTGCAGTTAGATACATAGAAAGTCTCCCTCAGTATCTGCAGGGTATCAGTTTCAGGACCCCTGTGGACACCCAAATCTGAGATGTTCAAGTCCCTTATATAAAATGGCATAATATCTGCATATAGCCTATGTATACCCTCTCTTGTACTTTAAATCATCTCTAGATTACATATAATACCTAATACAATGTAAATGCTATGCAAATAGTTGTATTGTTTAGCGAATGGGTAACTGTTGGTGTGGTTCTATCTTAATTCTTCTGTCAGATTGCAAGTGCCCTCGGGCAGGCACAGTGTCTTCCATGCCACCCTGAATTTCAATTATCTCTGTGTGAATCTGGCTACCTCTGTAACTGACTGTCTTTTTCTTATATCTTTAGTGCCTGGTGTAATATTTGCTACATAAATAGGTTCAATGGATATTTGATGAGGGGGGTTGTGGCTGGGTGAAAAAGGTAAAGGGATTGGGGGGGGGGAACCACACTCAGACACAGACAACAGTATGGTGATTACCAGAGGGAAGGAGGGATTGGGGTGTTAGAGTGTGGGGGGATAAATGGTGATGGAAGGAGACTTGACTTGGGGTGGTGAACACACAATACAATATACAGATGATGTATTATAGAATTGTACATTTGAAGCCTATATAACTTTATTAACCAATGTCACCCCAATAAATGCAATTTTTAAAATGTAAAAGCTAAAATAAAATGATACTATTTAGTAATATTTGCTAGCTTTATTACTATGTCTCTAAATTTTATTCAAAAATAAAAAAAAATAACCTACTTTAAAATCTGCTTGAATAAAAGCCTCTAAAATTAGTGACACAAATATAGAAAACACAAAGATATAGCATCCATGTAATTAGGCTATTGTTAGGATCATTAGTACTAAGCTTAATTTCACTACCAAATGTTATTTGATATATCAGATTTTCAAATACTACTCAACTTGAAAAAAAATTAATAAAAAATAGCAACCAGCTGGGATGGCTCAGGGGCTGAGTATTCACCTATGATTCAGGAGGTTATGGTTTGATTCCAGGTCAGGGCATGTACAGGATTGCAGCCTCGGTCCACAATGTGGGGTGTAATGGAGGCAGCAGATCAATTATTGATGTTTCTATAATATTTCTCTTTCCCTCTCCCTTCCTCTCTGAAATCAATAAAAATATATTTTTTTTAAAAATAGTAACAACACATTTTTACAATAGCAGGCAAGTCTCAAAGACTGATTGTATGACCTCAGTTCAAAGTAATGATGTTTAATAAAATATAAGAAAAACTTGTAGCATCTACAAAAGCCTAGTTGTGGGTGCCGAGGATGCCAGTCACCATGGTACATGTCGACTATATTCTAATAATTACTTCCTCCTTGCTATACCTTAGCCACTAACACAAAATCCTGATCTTTTATTGACATGAGAGTTGGTACAGGCATAAAGTAGAAAATTATAACAGCATCATAATTAATTACAATAAGCCAGAGAGGTTTGTAATTACCAAGTGTTGTAAGATGAGCTGTGTCTCGCCAGAATTCACCTGTGGAAGTCCTAACATTCAGTGTCACAAAATATGACCATTCTTGGAGATAGTGTCTCTAAAGAGGTAAGTAAGTTAAAATAAATCATCAGGTCGGGCCCTAATCCAAGAGGACTGGTATCCTTATAAGAAGAGGACATTAGGACCCAGAAGGAAAACCACATGAAGACAGAGGGAGGAGACAGCATCTAGAAGCGAAGGAGAGAGGCCTCAGAAGAAGTCAAACTTGCATACCTTCATCTCAAACATCTAGCTTCCAGAATGGTGAGAAGATAATACTTGTTGTCTGAGCTACCCAGTCTATGGTACTTTGTCACAGCATCCCTAGCACAGTTAGAAACCAAGTACCTTTTTACTTCTTTACTCATTAAATCTAATTTATACTCAAAACATTCATGGATGGTAATATTTTCACATTTTTATAGACAGGAAAACCGACATTCCAGAGGTGTTAAATGATGTCTCTGAGATCATCCAGTGGTTGAACACCAGGAGGCAGGACTAAACTAGAGTCTCTGTCCCCAGTCCCACTGGCCTTCCACTCTCAGCAGGTGACGGATGACAGGACACCTGGATGTGGCCCCAGCAGTGCCCTAAGCTCGTTGTGAGACTTTGAGTGTCATCAATTTCTTAACTTCTTTGTTGTTTTCATCTGCAAAATGATGGAGTTGAATTAAATATGCTAAGATCTGTATAAATGCCTTTCCCATTTTAAGCATGTAGCTCAGGTCATTGTTTCCAAACTCCTAAAGAAATTGGCTCTGTAAGCTCTCTTAGAATCAAAGGAAGAGTCAATATTTTGGGAATCACTATTTTGCCCAGAGAAATGATCTCTCTCAAAAAGATATAGACACTTACAAATGTTCTGAAATATTATGAGCTTAACTCATCTTTAAAAAGTAAATTTCAAAAGGCTTGCATTCTATTAATTTCTGTTTTTAAAGATTTCTGCAATCTGAGCTTTTAAGAATTGCTTCATGAACAAAACAGTATACTGTTTTTGTTTGTTTTTATTTTTTTTTTACAGAAAATCTGAATTCAGGCTTAAGATCTTTAGTGAACAATTGCATAATCTTGATTGGGGGACGGGGAGTAGTTGCAGACCTCAGTTTCTAAATCTGAGAAATGGTGTAAAGAGCTTCTGCATGCCTGGAGGGAAAGTTTGCCATTAAGTGAGTGAGAATATCTGAGAAATACCTTTGTACTCTTTGGAGGGAAGTTGCTGCAAGGTAATTCAAAAAAACTCACAGTGTTAGGGCCTTTTTTTTTTTTCCCCCCAATAATCTCCTCAGTTTTGAAATATTGTGTGAGTGCCTGATCTGCATGCTGCTCAAACCTATGGTGAATGCATATTTTGTTTGCCAGGAAGAGGGGAGGATTCCATGGGAAGTAATGTGTCCCATCATGGAGCATAGCAGGCTATATGACTGGAGGGGTTAGAATTGTGAATCATCTCTTATGTGCTTTTTTTTTTTAACTAAGTAAAGGCAGTTTGCCCAAAGGGGAGGGAAAACAGCTACAAACCACACACTCCACATCCAATCACCAAGAGACAAATCAGCCTTCAAGCGAATCAAATGTCTTCATGTAAAGCTTACCTGGACTTGGCACTCTGCCCATCTTTTCCAAAATCTCTGAACAACATGCTTTTTCACAATTAAAAAACATGCACACTGAAACAGTATGCCATTTGCAACATGGTTTTTTTAAGAAAAGGAACTGTTTGGCCTAGGAAAACCATTTGCTTGGGAAAAGGAAAGTTCCTTTCTGGGTTTGCAGCATGTAAATCAGAGGTCAGTGGGTGGGGCCGAGGTGCTCTCCGGAGCATAAATAAAGGCTGAGCTGAGCTGGCACAGGAGGAAGCTTGGACGCATCAAGGCCCCCTGGTTTGCACAGACAGGTGGGTGGGGAAAGCCAGGTAAGGCTCCTGACCATGGAGCATGTTGGAAGGGCACTGGGTTCTGGCCTCTGGTGACTGTGTGGAAGAGAGTTTCAAGGGCAGTGAAATGGGGTTTGGAGAGGGGATATATGGACTTTTCACCAAAGGTTTCCTGGGGCCTTTCTTTGGCCTGAGTTGGCAGTGTGCTCCCTTCCTGAGCCGGTTCAAGGTAATGCTTTCTCCCTTGGGAGGCAGGAGGCAGGAGGTTGGAGTGGGTGAACTCTAGGTGTTTCCAAGTGTGGGACAGGGCCCTGGGTCCTCTGTCACTGTGCCCTGGTCACTGTCTATGCTCTGCTTGCCTCCCACTGCCTAAAGCTAAGGCCTGCAGCCCCAGGAAACCTCCGCTCAGATTGCCCGCTGGCAATTGCGACTTAGAATATGACTAAAAAACAGGAAAAAGTGCTTTTTCTGTCTGGTATAGAGATTCTTGTTGCATCTTCAATCTTTAAATTCATGGGATAAAATATAAGAGAAATTGGAGTGCTTTCTTAAAGCATTTATGAATAGGGACACCAAAACCTCCTGCAGGTGAGAGAGAGAGAGAGAGAGAGAGAGAGAGAGAGAGAGAGAGAGAGAGAGAGAGAGAGGCAGGCCAAATGGTCAATGTGTCTCAGCATTCTGTTTTGAGGTGGTTTATGCAGGAAGTTTACAGAGTCTATTCATATTAGGAAAAGTCGATAGAGTGAATCTCAGCAGGATGTTTGAACAGCAGGAGTTACATTCGACAAAATTCTGTCATCTTGCCATAAAACACTGGTAAGATAGCAACAGTTCCAACCTGTAAGCGGTGGAGCTATTCCAAGGGCTCCTAATAGCTACTTGTACGATAAGAACTGCAAGTGGACTAAATAGGTAAAATGCTTCACTACCAGTTTATGATTTTTCAAATATACAAAGATGCTGTCGCTCTAAATAAAACAGGAAATCCAATGAATGTTGATAAACTCAAAGTAGTTATTTGTCATGGTGTTTCTAAATTAATTAATACTCAAAAAGTACAAGTATTCTCACAGAAAAGTTCCTGGATTTTGTTTTAAACACAAGTCTTTGTACTAAGAGGGCTGGAGATATTGACTTATAGTACACTTGAGTTGCTTCTGCAGACGAGTAGGATACAAAATTTGTTATTGGCTTTTCCAGTGTAGAAAGAAAATGCACCCTTGCTTTTTATGTCTTTTTGAGTAAGACATTTTGTGGACACATACTACTATTTGTATAAAAATGGGCCAGTTTAATATAAGATATCCTCTGATGTGATGATTTAGCAACACTTTTTTTTTTCAATCAGCAAAGATTCTGACTCAAGCTATCAGAACATGAAAAACATTCCTTTTAAAAATACTAAGCATTGAAGGTCTATCCTGCTTCCTTTGCAGTTTATTTAATTTCAAACCTCCACCAATATTAGAGTTTCAGGGTGGGAAAATGGGAGCCAGTGTTGCAAAAGGGCAAGATTCAGGAGCCTTGGTTCACACCCATCTCATAAATCTTCATCTCTCTGAATGTCAGATTCTTCTGTAAATGAGGCATTGGGGAGGTGGGAAAAGAGGAGGTAATCAATAAGGTATCTTCTTGTACTAAATGTTTTAAATATAAAATTTAAGTGTCAGTTCCTTTAGCTATAAGAGTATATACATCTACTTATTTCTTAAAGTATATCTATACCTATATTGTAGATACCTATGGAGATCTATATCAGTATACTCTATATCATTTATACTAGAGGCAGTATATTTATACAGTACACGAATTTGTGCACTGGTGGGGTCCCTCGGCCTGGTTAGTGATCAGTGCCTATTGGAGCCATCTCACCAGTCCTAGTCAGGGCCCTGGGGGCTGGCGGGCCAGGAAAGGACCATGGGATGGGGACTGGGGGTGAGCTCCAGGGCATATCCAGCCCTCTTGCCCAGTCCCCATTGGCAGGACCCCAGTAGCAAGCTAACCTACCGGTCAAAGCATCTGTCCCCTGGTGGTCAATGTGCATCATAGCAACTAGACAAGCAGTTGACTGAGCATTTAGCATATTATACTTTTATTATATAGAATCTGTATGGAGATGATAGATAGATAGATAGATAGATAGATAGATAGATAGATAGATAGATAGATGGATGCAGTCTGAAGATTTTGAAGACTGCTAATTCCCTTTAGTCTTACTGACTTTTTGCTTGTTTTCATTATTAGGTTTGCCATGGAGAAGATTTCAGTGTCAACATTCTTGCTCCTTGTGGCCCTCTCCTACACCCTGGCCAAAGACACCACAGTCAAACCAGGAGCTAAGAAGGACACCAAGGACACAAAGGTTCCTCCACCCAAACTGCCCCAGACCCTCTCCAGAGGTAGGAGTCAGCTCCCAATGCTGCCTAACTGGGAAGCTGAGACTTTTGTTTTTGTTTGTGTTCCTTCTGGGAAGCTGAGATCATATTGTTTTTGTTTGTGTTCCTTCTAGATTTATCAAATTTTATAGTTATTTCTACTTTCTCTAGAGGTTTTTCTTCTTTGTTTCAAGTACCATTGCTTTTCAACAGTTTTGGGTGTCAAATTATAATCGCTTTAAATATGCTGGCTCATGCCGGAACTGGTTTGGCTCAGTGGTAGAGCGTCAGTCTGCGGACTGAAAGGTCCCGGGTTCGATTCTGGTCAGGGGCATGTATGTTGGTTGTGGGCACATCCCTGGTAGGGGGTGTGCAAGAGGCAGCTGTCGATGTTTCTCTCTCATCTACGTTTTTAGCTCCCTATCTCTCTCCCTTCCTCTCTGTAAAAAAATCAATAAAATATATTTTTTTAAAATAAAATAAAAAAATAGGTGTACTGGCTCACTTTGTCCTAGGCTGGGGTGATCAGCTCATCTGGACTCAGACATATGAGGAAGCTTTGTACAAATCCAAGACAAGGTAAGGATGAGGTGACACAGCTCTCTCAAAGCTCTCAAGAGCACCATCTAGTGAGATTTAACTGCACATGAAATCCTACTCGGTAAAAATGATCCAATCTGGCTTTTCTTTTCAAGCAACAAACCCTTGATGATTATTCATCACCTGGATGAATGCCCACACAGTCAAGGTAATTTATTCTTCTACATATTATTTCCTTTATAGGCTTTTAGCTGTAGGGCCAAGGTAGGATAGCTCATCTCGTTTTCCTTAGCATCTAGCACAGTTGAATTCTAAATGATATTTCATGTAGCAAAAACATATTTAAGGTAACTTCAAATATCCCCGCGTTTTATGTTAACCATTGCTGCATAGTTTGAAAAAACAAGATCTAGGATTCATTCTTGACATCTTTTTCTTTTATCCCATGTTCAACACCATTGGCTGTGCCTCCAAAATATACCTCAAACCCAGTGTGGACTCCATGGACATGCAACCTGTGTACCCACCTAGGGCCCAGTGCTTAAAAGTTCCCATGCTTGGTTTAACATTCTGTAGTCATTGTCTGAAAATTCTTAATAACTTTTGAACAAGGAGCTCATGCTTTTATTTTGCATTGGGCACCATATATTATGTGGGTCCTGCCCAACTCCAACCACTTCCTGTTGTCTCACTGCTACCGTCATGATCCAAACCAAGAGCTAGATACTATAACAGCCACCTACCTGGCTACCCGATAGTCAGTTCCCCATACAGAAACCCAAATAAATCTGTTAAACAAGTCAGATCCTATCACTCATGTGTTCAAGTGGCTTCTACTCACATGTAAAATTAAACTCAGATTTCTGACCCTGGGCTACAAGGCAATACACAATCCAGCCTCTGGCTCCTTCCTTTCTCACTGCTCTCCTCTTGTTTTCTCTCCTCTCCACCTAGCCTGGCCTTTGTGCTTTGCCTCAAACATCTGAGTTCATTTTCGCCACAGGACTATTATTGCTCTTATAGTTCCCTCCACTTAGTATGACATACCTCCAAAATCTCAGAGTGGGTCACTTCTCTCACCTCAATGTCAGTCCCTCAGGGAGATCTATCCTGGCCACTTTATAGCTCTTAAACCTCTTGCTTTGCTTCACCTGAAATTATTAGATATCTCCACCTGAAATTATTATATATTTATTTGTTTGTTAATTTATGATGTCTCCTACACAGGCATTTGAGCCCCATGAAGAAAGCACATTACTTTTTTTTTTCTTTCACTTTTCTATTTCCAGGGCATTAAACAGTGCCTACCATTTAGTAGCCACTCAATAAATATAGGCTGAAAAAAAAATGGATGGATGGATGGATGGATGGATGGATGGCAAGAAGTAAAGGCAGTCAATAGCCTAAATATTGCTACACTAATTATTTGCTGAAAGGGCAAAGTTGAACACTGCACTAAAAATTACAGTTCAACTTAAAATATAACAGAGAGCAATGGTGCTGAGATGAATGCTTAATGATTTTTCTTTATATCATAGCTTTAAAGAAAGTGTTTGCTGAAAATAAAGAAATTCAGAAATTGGCAGAGCAGTTCGTCCTCATCAATCTAGTCGTAAGTTTCCTTCTCATCATCACTGACATTTCTCATTATTCAAAATGGATGATTCATTTCTCCTGAACATCATAGTCATGTTTGGGATGAAGTAGGATATGTCCCAAATACTCATCTAAGATTGGAAAGCAAAATAATACTTTATTAATAATCCATCTTTCATGTTAATGTTTTCATTTGGTAATTAATAACTTTAGGTTGTCTGAAAAGTATACTCCTGTGATAAGGATTTTCTCTGTTGCTGTAATAATTGGAAGGTTTTTGTAATTTCAGATTACCTCCTGTGTCCCTTCCTGCAGTTCTGGCTGTTCCACACCATTCTCAATCATTGTCTCCTCTCTCCCTAAAGAGAGAGCTCTCTGGTTGTCCAAACTTAGCTTCCTGCATTCTCACTGACTTCATCTTCACCACCCTTCCTGGTGTCCAAACTTTCCTGCCTTACTCTATCATAATCCTCACCTGGAGTCAGAGTCAGTCTCTCTCTCTCTCTCTCTCTCTCTCTCTCTCTCTCTCTCTCTCTCTCTCTCTCTCTCTCTCTCTCTCTCTCTCTCATGTTCTTCATATATTAACAGGTTGGCTTCTTCAAAGAGTATCCACACCAGTATTCCTTCCTCAACTCCCTCCCCCTAAGTATTAAGTGATTGGTGAATCTCTAATTGATCTACTTTTATTTTCATATTTTATATCTCTATGGGTAACATCATCAATATGTGTCTTTAATCAATGTTCACACACTGATGATGCCCACAAATACGGCACAACTTCCAACTGGTATATACACTTCATTTCAGACATCCCATAATTAGCTTAAACTCAATGTGTTCCCCCCTGCATTTCTCAGTTTGGGCCAGGCTTCCAAATTGCTCCTCTTTCTCTAGTTCCTATTTCATCAGAAGTGTTATTCTATTAATAGACGGAACTCTCCTACTCACCTGTGGCAGTCAAGACTGTGGCTCATTCATATATATTCAATTGCCTACAGCAAATTTCTCCCTGGATGTTCAATGAGTATATAATATTAAATATTTCCCACAGTGAACTCTTTTTTTTTTTAAATAAAATATATGTCTATTGATTTCAGAGAGTAAGGGAGAGGGCAAGAAAGAGAGAGCAATATCAATGATGAGAGACAATCATTGATCAGCTGCCTCCTGCAAGTCCCACACTGGGATTGATCCCACAACCTGGGCATGTTCCCTGACCAGGATTCGAATCCGTGACCTTCTAGTTCACAGGTCGACGCTCAACCACTGAGCCATGTTGGCTGGACAAGACCTGTGGTTCTAACTTTTAAATATTTTTGTTATTGGTCACTTTCCTATAAACTGAGGACCACCATTCCAGTGTAAGAACTGTTCACTTTGCTTAGCTTACTGCGGTATTATTAAGTGGCTCCCTGTTTATAAGATAATTCCCACCTAATCCCACATACCATTAGGGTGATCCCTTTCAAGACCAAATTGTGATCACAGTACCTCTTCCCATATCCCTCCACCACTTCTTAGCTATTTAGGAACAAATGCAAACACAGTGGTATGGTGTGCAAGAAACTACACTAGCTGGCCCCTGAGGCAGCTCTCCATCTTCTCTCACCACCACCCGCTGCTTTCCCCGCTGGTGTAGTCCCTTCCCAACGTGGTCCTGTCAGAAAGTGCTTTGCACATCCTCCTCCCTGCACAATCTCTCCCTCTGCCTGAATGATCTCCTTTTCCATGGGACTGACTGGTTTTCATTTTGAAAGGTTCCTCCTTCCCCACTTCATAAGGTCCGAATAGAACTTGCATACTGAGCTAAATGTCCTGCTCAGGGTACCCCTGGCGTCTGTCTTCCTCCATCATTAACATGTCAGACACTGGGTCCCCAGCATCCATTTTCCAACCTGCATCACCCAAGAGTGTGATCTGTGAGAGATAAGTAATGTCTATTACTACAAAAAGACTTCTAAATGAAAATTTGATAAATGGGTAGCTGAATCCTCAAGATAATCCTGTGGGTGTTTTTTTTTTTCTTACAGTAATTTCTCAAAAAAAAATGACTTCTGGTTTTTGTTTTCACTAATCCACTTCCTCCTGCCTCATGAATGATGTCTTCACCAAACACTGTAACTTCTTCCTAATTCTCCCTTCGTTTTTGTTCTTTATCACATCCATTCAGCTCTTGACCGCCTCTTCTGTATCACACTCTCCGCTAACTTGTTTGCATGCGTGTACATTATCTCTGCATCTGTTTTATTACTCCTTGTGGGAGAGATGTGCCTTCAGTGTCTTAAGATGCCTAGCTCCGTAACAGACACATTTTTGTATTCAATAGTTTCAAAATAACTAAAGAGTAAACAAATTAAAAAGCTGCTTTTTTTTTTTTTAATCTTAGTATGAAACAACTGACAAGCACCTTTCTCCTGACGGCCAGTATGTCCCCAGGATCATGTTTATTGGTAAGAGACAATGACATGAAACCACACATGCTTCCATATCTCCCCTTTGCCCTCCCCCACCCTCAGGTGCCACTCCACCGTGGCCCCAGTGAGGTACAGGGGTGGGCAAAAGTAGGTTAGTAATAATAGTAATAAATAATACAAGAGTTAATAAGTAGTAATTCAAGAATAAACTGTTTCATGGCCTCTCAGCTGTAAGCCTACTTTTGCCTACCTCTGTACCTCAGGCCTGTAAATACTTATTACTAATCAGGCAAACTTCCAATTTGTGTCTTGGATAGTTCTTTCTGATACTGTTGATAATTATTTGAGGAAAGTTAAGAATGTGAAGTTGTGTGCTTTTTTTCCCCTAAAAATCAAAGTTACCATGCTCCTTCCTGCCTCTGGAACATCTTATTATATGCTGTTCCATCTGCTGGAAGTTTGCCTTGCCTCCCCTTCTGCAGCTACCTGTCACATGTCACCTCCCCAGCCTCGCTGTCTTTCACAGACCTGCCAAAGCCCATGAGCACATGTGCTTATGGCTCCATGTTTCTTTCAATGGTCGCACTGCCCTCAGTTATAATTTTAAAATTACTGTTATTTGTTAAATATTTTCCTCATGGGACTATACACTCCATGTAGCAGGGACTACAGCTGCTTCTGCTTACCGTTACTTTTTCTGCATGGCCCTGTGGTGGGCTCACAAAAAATATTCCTTCGATGACAACAAATTAATTGAACTTGGCTCTGACCAAAATCATACTGATTTAAAGAGAGCCCAAGACAATTGTATGGTGATTGCCAGAGGGAAAGGGGATGGGGGAGGGGAAAGAGGGTAAAGGGATACATGGTGACGGAAGGAGATGACTTGGGGTGGTGAACGCATGATGTGCTACAGAACTATACATGTGAAACCTAGAGAATTTTATTAACCATTGTCACCCCAATAAGTTCAATAAAAAAAAGAAAAATACAGTCCATGATTAAATCCAGCACATAAAAAAGAGCTCACGCTAATCAAGTGGCTCACCTATGTAATTCCCCAAGTTCACACTAAATATACGAAACGGGAGGGGGAAAGCGAAGAAAGGAAGGAGGGAGACCTAACTAGAGTTTTATAGATTTGATTTTGTTAGGATTTAGAACATTTGGAATCCTTGAAACTGAGACTTTATAGGTCATCTGCCTTACCTTGTGTGCAAATCCTGCTCACAGCGTTCCCAGCTCAGAGAGTTTTAACTCCTGTTTGGGTCCCTTGAGTCATGGGAGCCAACTCCAACTCCGAGGCAGCTCGCTCTCAGCTGCTTCCCCACGTGCCTGCACTGGAGCACCACCTGGGCAATCGGAAAGCAAGTGGCCCAGGCCACACCTCCAACCAATTAAACAGAACGCCTGGGCGCCCAGCAAAGGCATCGCGATGTTTTTAAACCTCTCCCAGTGATTCCACGGTGCAGCCAGAGCTGTGAGCCAATGGCTGAGTATTTAAAAGCCTTTGTGTTAATTTATCACCATGATCAGGTGTTTGTATCATCTGCACCAAGCAGCAGCAGGTCTTGAGTCTTTGTTGAACAAAAGAATGTCTGCTTTTTGTAAATTACGTCGGTCCTAGTCCAGTATTCTGAAATGACAGGGACTGTTCATCCAGTATCAGTGACAGACATTGCAAACCTGCAGGTGCTCTGGCGCATCCTCTTCACCCAGATTTCAGGACATACATCTTAGGCTCCTCAGTCACCTCTATGGGGGTAAGGTTTCTAGGCCTCTGTACCCCCATAACACCTCCCTTTTGGATGTGCCTTGTTTTATTTATTTTTTAAAATATATTTGTATTGATTTCAGAGAGGGAGAGATAAAAACACCAATGATGAGAGAGAATCATTATCTACCTCTTGCACACCCCATACTGGGGATCAAGCCCGCAACGTGGGCACGTGCCCTGACTGGGAATCAAACCAGCACCTCCTGGTTCATAGGTTGATGCTCAACCACTGAGCCATGCCAGCCGGGCTGGATATGTGCCTTATTCTAAAAATACCTTTCTGTTCTCATTGATTTCAAGTTAATATAAAACAGGAAAAAATAATTGAAACAACACATAAGAGATGACTCCTAACTCAGTATTTTTTAAATAAGTAAAAAAATAGAGAGGGGACTACATGCTTATGTGACCTTTGATGCTATTAAGACTCATCTTCTTTTATTCATTAAAAAAATATATGTTGGTTTTGAACACCAGCATTAGATGTGAGTTTCTAATGATCCAGGTTGCTCTTGGTAACGACACATTTAAATTACAACATAATCCTTTCAAAAGCTTTTAACACAATTCCTTGGTAGCGAATGCTATTGTTTTCACCCAAAATGGAAACACCAGCCCAACAATATGTATTATCCTGTTTTCAGGTTGCTATAGATAGCACAGCGGGGTTCATAACCTTTCCCACAAATAGCCACACGCAGCTGTTGGTGGCTCCCAGCCCAGCGTGGGGTCCCGCCTGGCCAAGGCTGCCGCAGAGCAGATGAGGTAGATCTGCCAGGATACACGCTGTACTCCTTTCAGGGGATGTGGACAAATCCATGTGCTTCATCCCGCATCGGTGCAAGCACAGCTCTCCAGGCCATCACCCCCCTTTGCTTTTCCTTTGTAGACCCATCCCTGACCGTGAGAGCCGACATCACTGGACGCTACTCAAATCGTCTCTACGCTTATGAACCTTCGGACACAGCTCTGCGTAAGTGTCACCTCCTTTGGCCATCTCAGTGTGGTCCTGTGGGAGCAGAGGCCACAGAACTATGACAAAGGCAGGGAAAGCTGCTCAGGGGCCACTGGAAATCAGTTTGACCAACTAGTCTTATCACTTTAATCTCTCTTTTTTTTCATTGTAATTGAAGATGAATAATTGAAATTAGGCAAACTTGCCTCCCCTTTGTAATTGAAGATTATTTTTAAAGAAGTATCTGTTTTTCTCCAGGAGGATTCTATGATATGTCACCTGCATTTCAGGTTTTTCTCTTAGACACACTGACGTATCACAGAATTGAGTGCAATAGTTGCAGTAACCTGCATGCTTTGTTAAATATAGCTTTTCCAAATAATGAAAGAATATTTATTATTATTAATATTATTATTATAAAATATTACATTAATAATTATAAATATATTATTTATCCAAAAAATAAAGAAATGATGTAGTCTTTGTTGACACTAAATTCAAGTTCAACTTTAAAGATCAGTAGTAGGAAAGAGGGCTCCAAATAGTTGCCAAGAGACTCACTTCTGAGAGAAACTCCCAAGGAAGATGAGGTACCTCAATAGGATACTGTACTTGCTTGTGACATCTAATTAATCCTGCTGGGGGGAGAGCTGGGTTTTGCCCTAGAAGCCAATGCTGCTCCATGACCAGTGGCTGCCTAGAACTGCACTGCCCAGCATGTTAGCCTTCAGCCACAGGCAGCTGTTTAATAACAAACTTAGATTACTTACCATTTAAGACTCAGTTCCTCTGACACACTGACCATACTTCCAGTACTCAATGCAAAGGCATTGAATGGTTTTCATTATCACAGAAAATCTTGTAGGGCGGCACATAAAGATTCTCATTATTTTGGAAAGGAGTTTGAGGCTGCGTCTGGGCAGCAGGAAAATGATCGTGGTCCATTAGCGATGCCTTCAGTGGGTACTAGGAGAACCAAGGGACATACATTCAAAGTATTCGCCATTCTCAAAGCGATAGCAAATAGCTTAATGAGACTTTGGATTCCTTCAAGGCAGGTATTCTTCTCAGGTAAATATCATAGCTCCTTATAGAAAAGGCATTTAATAAATATTGGAGGAGAAATGGATTGCAATAAAAGCCATTTTACATAATTGTAGGAAAAAAATTACAGTAAGATTTCCAACATTTTACCCTATGATACAATAGCACCCCATTAAACAATCAATAAAATACCCAAGTTTGGGGGTTTACTACATCTGTTCATATAACTTTTGGTCACGTCTTGACTCTCGTAACGTTTTCTGCCCAATAGTTGTTGACAACATGAAGAAAGCACTCAAGTTGCTGAAGACTGAATTGTAGAGCAAAAAACAAAATTTGCAAGCTCTTCCCGCTGCGTCTGGCCATGACCTGGAACCAGAGGGGGTTTCAGAAGACCCTGCAGAAGGCAGGAGCGAGATGGACGTGCTCCTCAGATTGTGGTTTAATGTTACAACAGCTATTTTTTTTAATTTGGTTTCATGTATACACATATAAAAACAATATTGTGTATTACCATAGCAAGCCATACTTTTTAAAAAAATAAATCCTTTGGGGGTGTGAATCTTTTTTCCACACAACTTGGTCTTTCACACAAAAGCTATTGGGTTCATTCACCAAATAGGACTTTTGGACACACATAATGTTTGGGAAAGGGGATGCAGAGACAAGAAAAAAAAAGTAGTTCAAGCAGTAAAGACCAAAGAGAGTCCAAGTTCTCACCTCAGCTCACTCGTTTTTCACTGGGTGACGAATGTACACATTAGCTTAATCAGCAGCAGTATCAAACAACATGCATTCCTGTGAAAGAACATGTAAAAAGGCATCCCCAAGAAAATCAGGTACCTAAATAGAAGACACCCCCAACTGTAGCCAGAAACTTCTATGCACGCACTTTAATTTAATAACTGGATTTTACTTAGATTTTGCCCAACTCAAGGCTCTCAGAGAGCCTCTGGCAGGTGGCTTTCACCTTCAGGAGATTGATTTTGTGAGAAGGCCATTCAAAGAACATCTGTACCCATGAACACCTGCTAACGAAATCCTGAGAACTGGCCTTATGATACAATGAATCTCTCAAGGCCTTCGGGTCCTGACCTTGAACAAGCTCAGTTGAATTGTTCCCATCTTGGTCACCAAAGTGCAACTGCCGAGGAGAAGAGCAAAGGGAAGCAACATCCTGTCTGTGGGGGAAAGATCAGAGGTCACTATTTCTCTCTGGAGAAATTGCTGCTTTTAACTCTGTCCTGCCAGGCAAAAATTAGAACCGTGCTAATGTCTTCACTACATATAGAATACTGCCACATTTATTATTATATGGAATTATCTTATTACTCAGCCCCTCCCCAGACTTCTTCAGCCCCTCAATGACTGTGGTGGTCTGTGCAATGCTTTGCATATTGATTACCTATTGCTTGTCTTGATAGGTCCTTTTCTGAATAGATTCTTTGGCATTATTATTAACTTTTCCAGGGTAGATAATATATTTTAAATACTTTTCTGAGTCACAGTACTCTGACAGAGCTATTCACTAATGAGTTCTGAGCATATATTGTTGATTTAATGGCATACAAATCCTCAGCAAATATGTCAACAGAGGGATTGGGCTCCCTTCACTTAAGCAGGTAACCTACATGTGCATAAAGAGGTAAAATATTCCATTGAGAAAGTTCTCTGAGGGTTAATGAGAAGAAAAAAAAAAGTTTTCACCATATAAACAAATATTTAAATGACAACTTCTGAGTTATTCAGGCTTCATCTGTAGTAAAGCAAAATAATGTTTACTTATTGAGCTGATGCTAAATAAGAGTAAATCCTTAAAATTTATTGAATGACAAAATGCTATTTTAACAACACACATAATTTAAAAAATATAAGTCTTTGGGAAGTCTAATGTCAAGGTTGCAAGAAAAAAAATTGAATCTCCCTTAGAAAAGTATTAAACACAGAGCAATAGTCATTGAAAAAAACAAAACTAGTTTAACCCCATCTCCTCAACTTCTGAGAATTAGTCCTAAGAGAATAAATCACGCAAGAGAAATAGAGTTGTGAAGATGCCAACTGCAACACTATTTAAACATATCCTCCCCAAAAGGCAGATATAATGATTACATCTTTATTAACACATAGAGCAGTGTGTTGTCATCTATAAAAGTAATAAACATTATGGAGAAACAAAAGGGTAAGTGAGAAAGAATTTTAAGAGTTTTTATGGTTTATGCAACTATAGGAAATGTGTGTATACACAAGTTAGGAATAGAAGTGAAGATGCAAACATCAAAACTATTGTTTTAAGCTCATGGAAATATTAGCAAGGTCTAGCAACCAAACCCTTTATAGGCATCTCACAATCTTTCCTTTGTATTTAAATACATTTAAATGAAAGAATGCCTTGACTACTTCTCTGACTACAAAGAACGCTATAAGAGGAGAGAGTATTATCTCAAACAGATGGCTAAAAATGTTGGCACCACAGTGAGAATGTAAAATGGTGTAGCCCAGTGGTCAGCAAACTCATTAGTCAACAGAGTCAAATATCAACAGTACAACGATTGAAATTTCTTTTGAGAGCCAAATTTTTTAAACAAACTTCTTCTAATGCCACTTCTTCAAAATAGACTCGCCGCTAAAACCTGTTTGTCTCAGTGGATAGAGCATTGGCCTGTGAACTGAAAGGTCCTAAGTTCAATTCCCGTCAAGGGCATGTATATTGGTTGCAGGCACATCCCCGGTAGGGGGTGTGCAGGAGGCAGCTGATCAATGTTTAAGAACATCTCTCATAGATGTTTCTAGCTCTCTATCCCTCTCCCTTCCTCTGTAAAAAATCAATTTTATATATATATAGATAGATAGATAGATAGATAGATAGATAGATAGATAGATAGATATAATTTTTTTTTTTTTAAAGGATAGATTTGCCCAGGCCGTGGTGTTTTGTGGAAGAGCCACACTCGAGGGGCCAAAGAGCTACATGCAGCTCATGAGCTGCAGTTTGCCGACCACGGGTGTAGCCAATATAGAAAAAACTATGACTGTTCTTCAAAGCTTACATATAGTATAACCATACATTTCAGTAATTCCAATTCTGAGAATGTACCCAAAGCAAACTGAAAACAAGGAAAAGGTATGTGTATCCTCACAGACACAGCAGCATTATCCACAATAGCCAGGAAGGGGAAGCACCCCTCATAGCCACCAACAGGCGAATGGCCAAATAAAATGTGCTGCATACCTACTGTGGAGTATTGCTTGGACTTTACAGGGGAGGAAATTCTGACATATGTTACCACATGGATAAACTTTGAGGACATCATGGTAAGTAAACCGGTCATAAAGGGACAAACACTATATGATTCCACTTATATGAGGGACGTACTGTAGCCAAATTCATAGACAACAGACGGATACTGCTGGGTCTGAAGGGAGTTGCTATTGAATAGGTGCAGATTTTGAAAATGAAAAAGGTCTGGAATTGGACGGTGGCGGTGGCTGTGGAACAGCGGGAATGTATTTAATGACACTGAATTATACACTTAAAAATGGTTACAATGACAGGTTGTGTTATATATGTTTTAACACATTAAAAAAAATTTTTTTTACCAGATTTATCTGAGGCCCCACAACTTATAGAAAAGTTGGTTTAACGTAAATCTTCTGTAAAAGTCATTTACATGGATGATCAACAAGTTTGGTTAAAGCATTTTTGCCTGTTTTAGAGCCATAGTCATCTTCAAATGATTGTTTATGATCATCTAGCTCTGCTGTGTGTGTGTGTGTGTGTGTGTGTGTGTGTGTTTTGCTTGTTTTATGCATTCAGTAATCCTAAATAAATTCTGGGGTCCTTATATTTAGCAACCACTGGTGAGAACGGGAGCTAGGGGAAGAACAGAAAAAGCTCAAAAGCAATAACACCTCTTTCTTCAGTGCCTTCCCAGTGAGGTGGACTTCAAACTCCAAGTCAAGGCAGCCTAACTTATTAAAAAGCCACTTGTCATGTTGTGGCCTCCACTATCTGTAAAAAGCAAGATCTGAAAGTTAGCAAAAGGGTTTTTGCCCTCCAAGTGACATCCAAGTCCATTATTTGACACACATTTTTTATTCAAAGGCAACTCCTTTAGGCCCTCATTTGAAAATAAATTTCAAAAGCTGGCTTTCCTGAGGTGAGTAGTTGAGAGGCAGCCAGGCATGGGGTCTGATTTTCCCTTTTCTTCTGTCTCAAGAGGTGCTTCTATGAGAACAATTGCCAGGGTACCAGAAACACTTCAATATTTAGAGCTCTGCCTCTCTCTCTCTCTCTCTCTCTCTCTCTCTCTCTCTCTCTCTCTTTCTCTTTGTCTCTCTGCCCCCCCCCCCCCCCACCTTCCCAGTGCAGTTATCTGTTTGGAAAATATTCACCAACAACACATCTTGTCAGTGCATTTGGCATAGAGACCCAGAAGTAAAAATTAACTGCCCCAAACATACCAAGTGCAGAACAACTTTACACAAATCCCCTACTTACCCAGAAACTGAGGAAGCTTGACCTCTAACCTTACTGTCATCTCTAATAAAACAATGGGCATGCGAGTGATCATATTTGTACAATCGCAATGCCTGAACGTGTTTCTCTCCTGTGAAATATTATGCAAAAATGTGATTCTAACTTTTCCATACCAGCTAAAATGCAAAGTAGTTTCATATATTTACTCAGTGCACTTTCAAAAGGGTGAATAAACTTTCACAGGGTTCAACAAATATTTTTAAAAATCGCAGAAGGCGGTTTTTGGCCTGAGGACGTGAAAAACTAAGCCACACTGGTTTCTTCTCTCTCTCTGAAGGGCTCCATTCAGCAGCATATTACTGAGGTTCACCACGCAGACCTGGCCTTCATGCCAAACTCACGGCTGCTTAGAAAACAGAGTATCTGGGATGAATTTATGTCACGTGAGCTCAGATTTTAGAAATTATAGCTTAATGTTTTTCCTTCCTACTAGCATTATATTATCTAATTAAAATCTCACCTGTAACTTCAAGGCTGACTGGGCACATGTTCTAAGAAATAGTCCTCTAAATGGAATATGTGAATAAGGCATAAAGAGAAATGTATAAAAATATTATAGTTTCTTTTTATAAATAATCCTATAGTTTACAGCCCTAAAGATGAATACTTCCCAGACTCTGACTTGTAGATAGGTTGACCCAAAATAAAGGCCATTGAAATTAGAGCACACAGCAAGGCTATGGGTTTTTGTTTTTCTCTCTGAAATAGCCTTTCCCACATATAGTCATTTATACCAAGAAAATTAATATGTGAGAAGATTCCAGAAACTCATGTGAGGTTCAAAATGTCACAAGGCAAACCGGGAAACACAGCAAAGATGTGGTTCACAAGTGTCACTTCCTTCATGTGTCACTTACAATCTCATCTGATGGTGTCCGAGGGAACTAGGTTAGGTGGCCCGTGCTTGATATGACATTGAAGGGTAACAGAACATGCTATCTCTTAGGCATAAAGATCATTTTGAGCGGATTAGGTCTGAGAAACAGCAGACACCGGAGAAGCTCTGAAAACTGAGGGGTTTATCCTTCTGTAGGGGACATTTAGGTTCACAGTGGAAATCTCTTTCTGTAGGGCGTCCCTTCTCTGTACCAGGAAGGATGACTCTAAATTACAAGAAACTCTTATCAATGCAGAAGTGGCTGACGCAGTTCTGCATAACAAACACCACCTGTCCTTTGTTTACTGTGCTGCTCCTCGTAGCCCCCATGACTGGCTTACACACAGACACACAAAGACACACACACACACACACGCACGCACACACGCACATGCACGTGTGCACACGCACGCGCACACACACATACACACACACACACCTTTCTTTTGCCTTCAACTAAAGATGATATTTAAGATGGTGGCCTGAGCCATCTTAGTGAGTTACAGTCTTTCTGGGTATCCCTTATGTATACATGAGGTATACAATGTGAATACACTTCTGCTTTCCTCTTATTAATCTGTCTTTTATTACATGGGTTCTCAGATAAGAGCTCAGAAAGGTACAGGGCAATTATTTTCCTCCCATGCATTATGGGAATTGCATGACTTGGTTTTCTTGAAAGGTGAGCCAGCCTTCCATCCTGGAAGTGATACAGACACACTCTACTCTAAAATTCTACAGATCAACCATTTACCCTCTTTCTTGGTCTAAAACTCATCAAGACAATTACCAATAAAATACCATATATAGAATGCAAGAAATTAGTAATTTTCAGTAACAGAAGAGAACTTACATATTTTCCCATATAAATATGAATGACTTCCCTTTAAAAAAAAAAAACACAATCCTCACCATGGAGAAGATATTAAACACTGAAACATTTAAAGAAAGACTTTGGAGATGACTACAGTAAATATCAGACTAGAAGTTAATTTCCATGGCTGGATAATGCACTAAAATGGCAATACTTCCAAATCAAAGAGAACCCAACGTAAAATGTCAAAAAAAACACAAAAAAAAACAAAAACATTTCACTTGATTCACGTGTTCAATTCTTCCATTACTCTCTTTTTCTTTTCTTTTTCTTTTTTTCTGTTTAGCCATTTCATATAGAAGGAGGACACACACAAATCCTTGCCCTTCAGATCATGGCAATGCTGATCTATCCCACAAGCATAGCCACATTACTTTCTTTTAATTCAAGCACTCATACACGAAGAAAGGTTACCTTCCTTTAATTTTTTAATGTAATATACAGAACCCACAGTACTATTTCAATTTCAAATTATGGGAGGTCACATTGAAATATGCTTGGGTTTGACAAGCTGCTGTTACAATACTGAAAAATTTCATGAAAAATTTATTTAACAATTTGTAGATAATCAAACATCTTTTTGCTACGGTGGGCCGAAGCAATAACAGTAACTTGTTTAAAAATGCAGTCTTTTGGACTTCAAATTACTATAAAAGAATATCAAGATTATACAGATATACCTTCTGAATTTCTCAAACGCATTCCATTTTGGAGGCTGAAGGCAAATGTTACACATTAGAGCATTCATGAGACCATTTCTCCTTCACACTTACCGGTAAAACTCAAAAACTAAACCAAGCTTTCCTAAAGACATAGCTACTTCTAGAATACATTAGTGTAATCATATCACTAGAACTACATTATCACTTTTATGTTAATTTTCACCACAAAACATACTTTCTAAAAACACAAAAAATTTGGGAATTTTATTTCCCATTCTGAACTTAACATATAGAATCTCATACTTACTGGCTTTAATAAACTTGAACTCTTTTTTTTCCCAATAGGAACTATCTACACAGCACAGTGCTACATACAATGAGCTACTCCAGTCAGACGTATACTGAGAATCACAATATGATTAACACAGTAGTGCCATACAAAGTGTTTCTGCAGATAAAAAAAGCTAAGAAAGGCCACAGTGGACAGTGCCAGAGACTGTGAATACAGTAGATTACAGGTACCACTGAGGTTCAGAGGAGACCACAAGTGTCTTTTTGTTTTTCAGCAATGGAAACGGAAAAAACATTCAGAGAGACAGAAGAGTAAAAATATACAAATCCACTGTCAATAATGAAATTTTTCAGATACTGTTTCCTTAAACAGGCAAATTAACGTAACTTAAAGTTAGCTGTGAACAAGATCAGAATGTGAAGAGTTTTCCTGGCTTTCTCATCAAAGGAATGCACTAGGGTTAGCACGAGGATCTTTCTGGTTCCTGTATCTGTAGGTCAGCCAAACACCCAGAATCTGGAATAGAAGGGGGGGAAAGGGAGAAAAAGAAAGTAACAGTTGTTGTGTATTTTTATTCAAAAACCTCTAAAGCACTTAGTATTATTTGTTCAAAACAGAAGATTCCTCCCCACCCCCCCATTCCCCTCCAAAAAAAGAAATGTAGTCAGTAATCCAAAAGAGAGGCCCTAAGGAAGAGTAATATAAACACTGTGGTAGTCGGGATATTGCCCTCCAAGGATGTCCAGATCATAATCCCCAGAACGTGCAAATGTCACCTTAGGTAGTAACTTGGACTCTACAGAAGTGACTGAGTTAATGATCTTGAGATTATGAGATTACCGGGTGGGCTCAGTGATGTAACCACAAGGCCCCTTATTAGAGAGAGACAGGAAGGATAAAATCAGAGCTATGGAGAAAAGGCGATGTGATGACATCTCAGAAGCAGCTGTACGCAGAGTCAGGGAGGGAAGATGCTACCTTGCTGGCTCTGAGGACCGAGCAAGGGGCCAGGAGCCAAGGAGTGTAAGGCCCCCCTCAGACGCTGGAAAAGGCAAAGGAGCAGGATCGCCCCTAGAGCCTCCAGAAATCTCCATTGTAAGCTTTTGACCTCCGGGAGTGTAAGATAATAAATGTGTGCTGCTTTAAGCTACGACCTCTGTGTTTATCAGTGAGAGCAGCAATAAAAAGCTAACACAAACATTAACTTCTCTGAATAGCTAAAATATCAAAGATTTGGATAATTCAGAAACAAACTGGGCTCAGCAACAATTAAACAATAACAAAAAAACTATATAATATATAAATTTTCCTACACAGATCATAACTGACAAATCTCAGAGAGAAGAGGGGGTGGATAGAAATAGATTAACCTGCGGGCATATCCCCGGTAGGGGGTGTGCAAGAGGCAGCTGGTCGATGTTTCTCTCTCATTGACGTTTCTAGCTCTCTATCCCTCTCTCCTCCTCTCTGAAAAAATCAATAAAATATATTAAAAAAAAAAAAAAAGAAATAGATTAACCAAAGAATTTACATGCATATATGAATAACCCAGGAACATAAACAATAGTGCTGTGAAGGTGGGGGGAGGGGTGCGAGGTAGAGGTAGTCAGTGGGGGGAGGGGATGGAGACATCTGTAAAACTTTCAACAATAAAGATAATTTTTTTAATATGTTATAATTTCTACCTCTCCAAGGGTGATGGGGCGGGGGGTGAGGGAAGGGAAGGCAATAATTTTAGAAAGTAAGTTGTTATTGTGCCATGTCCCACACCAGTCTCACTAAAGACTTAACCAATATAACTTTATCTTTTTTTTTTAATTAAGAAAGGTGTTAGTTCTGTTTGCTACCTTGAAGTTGATTTATTTAAAGTAATACAGCTGGGACCGGTTTGGCTCAATGGATAGAGCGTCGGCTTGGGGACTGACGGGTCCCGGGTTCGATTCCGGTCGGGGGCATGTGCCTTGGTTGCTGGCATATCCCCGGTGGGGGGTGTGCAAGAGGCAGCTGATCTATGACTCTGTCTCATCGATGTTTCTGACTCTCTATCTCTCTCCCTTTCTCTCTGTACAAAATCAATAAAATATATTTTTAAAAAAATTAAAAAAAAATAAAGTAATACAAATTTTTTTTGGGGGGGGTGCGGGGGACAAAAAACTTTTAAGGGAACAAAATGAATTTCAAATTATATTTCCCACTTTTGATCTGTGCCAACTTTTAATCTAAATTTTATTTGACTTCATAACTACTCATTAGTTCCTTAAACTACTTCTGGAGAATTAGGGTGAGTGCCACATTTTCTCCATTTTCCATAACGATAATTGCTGAGTTGCTGTATAATTCACGACAGTCAATGTGTATAGCTACAACACGTGAGGGCTTATGGAACCATGCTTTATGAACTGAATCAAGGAAAAAAAATAAGCCTAATTTAAGGAAGTGGAATGTCTGGTGTGACGTCTGTATGACCTGGGGGGGCGGGGGGAGGGAGGAATTTACTTAAACACAGAGAGTACTTTGTGACAGGCTCTGTTCCACACACTTTACAAATTCACACCATCCTCCCCACACCCCTACACGGCAGGCACTATCCTTCTCCTCATTTTACCAGTGGGGAACTGAGGCACAGAGAGGTTACACAGTGGGTAAGAGTCACACAGCTCCTAAGTGGTAGAACCGGGTTCCAATCTGGAGTCCATGCTCTTAATCGAGTGTGTGGTTTTATGTGAGAATCTGATGTGTTTCCTGGCTGTTCTCCTGGTGACGTTTCACCTGCGGTACATTTCAGCTATGCTGGTTGTTATAACCCTGACAATACTTACACCCCCTGTTGTCAAACAGCTACTTCTCTGACACTTCCCAACCTGCCCCGGCATCATTTCCCTGACCCTGCCTCAGAAACACTGGCCCCCAGGGACCTTCCGGTTAGAATTTTGAGATTGTTCAATATTCTTATTATCATCCTTGGACATATGCCGACTGTGTAAGCTCCGGTCCTTGGGAAAACAAAGCCATTGAGTAAAAATACTCACAATCTGGAGCCATATTATACCAGAACTGAATTACTCCAGTTCAGCTTTAAGTGAGGAAACAGGCCAATCCCTTCCTCTGCCCCAGGGCTGAACCAGTAGCTCCTCCCACAGTCCCCAGGGAGAGAGCCTGGAAGGTAGGCTACACCCAAAATGCAAAAAGATCTAATTTAGAATCGATAGGGTTTTGAGCTAACAAACACGCTCATGACTTGTCCTCCTGGTGAACTCAGTTGACTCTGGAACCTACACCCAGAGACCACGAGTTGCCAAAGTGCTGTTGATAACATAGAAATGTAGGGTATGCACGAATAAGCCTGTACTCATTCTGCTACATATAGATATAGGAAGGCAGAAAGGAAATATGTCAAAATAGAAATATTCACTATTTTCTGAGTAGGTCATTTTGGTTAGTAGATATATATTTAATCTTTCATCTTCATAATTTTCTGTATTTTCTAAAGTTTCTACAAAGAACATGTACTAGTGGTCATATCTTTTTTTTTTCAGATTCTAAATCAATACTACTTTGGTAGATTAAATTTATTTTCAGGTATTAATAGTTGGAGTCAAACCATTGTTTCACCTCTGATAGGAAATCATCTGTCAGTTAACCTCATCCCTTCAAACTGAGAATCCGTGATTCAGTGAATTACTGAATAAAATTTTTTTAAACAAGTTTAAACTGACAGAGCCCATAAAATATTCATTATCCAGAATATATCAGGTCACATAAATTATTAAAATCTCTAGCTGGGTTTCAAAAGGACATGGTATATAAAATATTGAACAGGCTTTCCTGAAACAACACTTCAGAAATCTGAGACTCTTGAGTTTATATTCGTAACAATGTTTAATTTTTTAAAAACAGCAGGAGGAGAGACGCACAGGCAGAGCACAGAGCAGTGGGTACACTCTGTGTGATACTATAATGATGGAAATGGGTCATACATTTGTTCAAACCCACAGAAGGTATATCCAGAGTGAACCCCAATATAAACTCTGGACTTTGGGTGATTATGACGTGTCACTGCAGGTTCATTCGCTGGAACAAATGTATCTCTAATGGTGAGTCATAGTGATAATGGAGGAGGCTGTGCATATATAGGGCAAGGGGTATGTGGGGAACCTCTGTACCTTTCTCTCAATTTTGCTATGACCCCAAAACTGTTCTTTAAAAAAAAAAAAAAGAAAAGAAAAGAAAAAAACAGCCCAGTTTAAAGAAAACAGGCATAACTGAAAGTCTTGTGATATGGTGAAAAGAAATGGAGCTGCTCAAAAGAAAAAGAAAAAAAAATCTCAATATAATTTCCAGATATAAAGAAAGAAACCACGCTTGAATCGAGCTAGTGGCGAACGTGGAGAGTGCTCATTCCAGTTTTTCTATCTGTGGTAAGTTCTCATGACTAAAGTTTGTGTTTTCTT